GAGCTATAAACTGAACAGTCCTGATGATACGAGGCACAAGAGCAAAGTTGCACTGGTGCCCATAAACTGTTTTGAAGTCCTATTCAGCACCTCCAGGTAGACAGAGCAACTTTTGAGGCTAGCTTGGGTACCTTTGTTAGCATCCTGGATCCAACAAGACAGATGAGCTTTTTTTTTTTTTTTTTTTAATCCTCTGCAGAGACTTGTGCTTTCAATGTCATGAAATGTTCTTGCTAGCATTACCCTGCAAAAATGCAACTGAATCAAGATTAGAAATTCTATACATGCTTATAAAGGCAAAGGCTAATTTACCTCAAGAATGCACAACAACTAATCATTTTAGAGAAAACTCTCAGAATACACATGGCTTCAGTAAATCCAATTAAAAGTTTTCCTGGACAGCCTTCAGATTTACAGCATTGCTGGTTTTTTCATTGGCAGAGTATGCAAAGGCATTCAAGGGTGTGAATAGTATAAAAGCTACCTGCTTATATAGAAATTTGTTTTCTATGGTATGGCTATGTAAGCTTCTGTGCAATAAAATGTGTTAAGCATTTAAATTCAGTTTTATTAATATTAGTTCAAGCTATCAATTTTAAATTCAACACTGATGTCAGCGCTGAAATTTAATTTGTAACAGCTGAAAATCTCCTGCATTTATGATAGCAAAAGGTATAACTAAAAGCACACTAATAATTTAAAGTTTCTTAAAACAATCAAAACAACTCTTGCAATAGATTCCCAAAGTAACCTTGGAAAATTAACTCCTCCCTTGATTTGACCAAAGCCTTTACAGTAATACTTTGCATCACAAGATGCATAATGCTTCATTTCCAGCAGCCAAATTATATTTGTTCAAAAATTTTGAGGAAAAGTACACTCTTGCTGGGGGAAAAATACCTTTAAAAAATAAAAAGACAATTTTCTGGCAATTTCTATTTCTGAAAAGAAAGGACATGCACCTTCTTATAGCAAATGTGATTAGCTGAATTCGAGATCTCTACAAGGTAATGGTCACTGAAATTCTGCTACAGTACACATACTGTTCTAAATAATTTGGTTTTTAAATTCCATTTATTCAAAAAGCTAAATCCACTCATCTGTAACTAAAAAATGCAAATGTATACTTAAATGTATACTTTAATGAAAATACCTCCAATGAAGAGCCACATGATGACAGACGCTCCCTACCTCCAAGATCACACACCGTAATACCAAGATTATAAATTGTCTCCCGGATAATTGACTGGACTACAGCAACCGACTTCATGGTATTTGACAGGATTCACCAACAAAATTCCCAATCAATTTAGCCAAGACAATTAGGTTAGACAAAACCTTTTCACTTGTTCAGTTTCTGTGGTTAATGTTGCCAAGCCTTTCATCATCACCTTTTGCTTGTGCTCCTGGAGAATTCTCTGGTGAACTGTCCCCCAAGAATAAGCAAGGTCAGAGGCTATTTTGCCACCTCTTCCATCACGTAGTATTGTAAAGTATTCAGAGCAGAAAAATCAGGAAGTGAGGTCAACCAAATTAATCTAGCACTTCATTACCTAACCTGTCTGCTAATGTAAACCTGTTCTCAGCATTCCTCCTTTTCTGAACTGTTGATAAATATCTCTTACCTTGTTCAACAAAGATGATCCCAGTACCTGTGCTTCATCTTTGAACAGTGTTTTCAACTTAAGTTTTTTTGGACAGAATTACTGCTGTTGGTCCTGGTTTTATTTAACCATTAATGGAAACATTTTAAATCCTGAGACCTTTCAAGTCTCATTCTACAATTCCTGATTTTCCATCTAGAAACCAGAGCCTTTTTTTTGGGGGGGGTGGGGGGGTGAGGCGAGGCTGCCAGAAGCAATATTCTGCTTCCCTGTCATAATCAAGATAAAAGTGTTGCTACTGTGGCCTTCAAGATTTTATTATTTTGTAAGGTATAGTACTTACTGAGTACTGCAAGCTCACTTCAGGGCCAAATTCTAGGAGGCGAGTCGCACAAATGGAGAGATGGACTACAACGAGTCTGTGCCTGCAATTCTAGAGGAAAAACCCAGTAGGCCACAGATACTTTTAAAAAAGCACACTTGCAATTCATGATTCACTTCTCCAGTTCTTGATGAAAACTAGGGGGAGGGGGTTATATTTTTCCTGGAAGATTTACTTCCACAAGGTACTTCTCTTCCACCTTGTTTCTTGTGTCATGTGTGCCAATGCCTTAAAGGGATCTCCATGGCTTGGATTTCTTCATGGAAGCCAGTTTCTGGTCCCATACAGCCAGAACGTAGCAGGTTTTTTTCAAAAAAAACCTGACAGCTACATTTAATACTTTGAGTACAATTCATTGCCTTGAAACTTAAATTACAGAGTGTAGGGTGAAGAGCCTTACAAAGTGTTTTGCTTTGAAGTATCACGCCAACCATTTCCAGTAAACAGGGATTAACGCAGGAAATGGAGATGCAGATGTGCAGAAGAGATCCTCATCAGCCTGGTGCCTTATATACGCTAAAAGTTATCTTTGGGGAGTTTTAGCAACTAGAACAGAAGTATGAAGGTACCTGGAGCGTTTCCACAGACACTTCCTAGCATTCACTGCATATCTGTTAAACACAAAAGGCTGGAATGAGCTGGGTTGCGGCTGGTGGTCCCAGGCACTCCCCAGGCTAGTCATTTGTGCTTTCAAGACTGTTAGCCTAACTACAGAAAACAACTATAAGGCTCTTGAGTCAAAAAGCAGCTTTGCTTGTCACAAGAAACTGTGAACTAGCTGCATGCCTTTATAAGGACTAGAGAACAAATACTTTGAAACAAATTTGGGCTAAGAGACACATACTGTGTATATACCTCAAAAGCAGCAAGACGGCCTATCTTACACTTCGCTCACTGGCTATTTGTGGCAGCCGGGAAAAGAATGGTAACAATCAGATTCAGCAACTTCTGGAAATAATTTTAATATCAAATGTATTTGCATTCTCATAGCAGTTATCTAACAAATCTAACAAAAGCAATCCTTTAATGTTAGAAAACCAATTTAGAAAAGTTCATACATGACTTTTGCTTTTAAATATCTATAAACCAGTAAATTTAAAAAAGAACAAATTACTTCATGATAAAAACTAACTTTACCATAAGAAAAGCCCAAACTATTTTTCATAAGGGAACACAGAAAATATTCATCAATTAAAAAGGTGCAGAGAAAGGACACACATTGCCGCGCTTTATCTTTCACCTTGTCTGACAATAAATACACAGATTACGCCTGTAACTAACGCTGATGTTGTGATGTAGGTGACGAAAGGTCTGCGATAAGGGGGGCAGATGTTGGTGGGGGGTAGTGACAAACTACAGAATTAAAGTAGAAAAAAAGACAAAAACCATACAGTAATTGCAGTAGGCTGCTCACAGCTACACAGAAGGTAACTGTGCTCAGCAAGTTATTTTGTTTTAAAATTGCCTCTCTTCTCCGGAAAGAATGCTTCCTGGTTTGAGAAACAACAGTGGGGCTTTTTTTTGGGATGACTGTACAGAACCTGAAGTAATAACTGGATTTTCCAAATGCTAGGTTTCAGAGCTGTCTTGAGGGAAGGAGCCCTGAGAATTCTGCAATGCCATAAAAATGTTCACATCTTTGGATTGCCCTCAATTATTATTTTAACTCTCTAGCCTACTTCCAGCTTTAAGAGCTCTGGTTTTATAGATACATTTATGACACACAGTCCTTCTGAAGGGTGTGACTACACTTAAGTTTACTTACAGTGGGGAACAGGAGAAAGCATCCTCTTAAAACAGTCACCTTCTATCGTGCAATAACTACAGAAAAAAGTGTGCATATTTCAAAATTTTATGTGATCACCATTTGAGGAAAAACTACATAAATATCTATTAAGACAACAATAGACTTGTGCTAATTTATCAAATCAAGTCCAAGTTCAAACACTCAAAATTCAGGCATCTTTACTCAATTCTCCTGAGCAAAATATAACACCTGTTTTTCTTAAAGACACAGTATAACATAACGACCTTTTTGAATGAAAATGGCCTTATTTTTCAGTGAAACACCTCAAACTTTTGAGGTTGTTGAGCCACAACCTGCTTGCCTTTCTAATGCAAGTGATGCCATAAGATTCACAGAACAACTCCCAAAAATAAGGCGAACAGGATTAAAAATCAACTGCCTACATGTATTGTATTGGCATGTACGTTAAGGGCAAGATTTCTTCTAAAATCCGGTAAGAAAAAAACCTCTGAAGAAATACTTGAAAAAGTTCCACTCTTGACTTTAAAAGATTTCAGTGGCCACTCTCAAACAAATGCCTTCCACTCATGGAAATAATTTTTTATGAATTCCGGGGAAGGAAAAAAAAAAAAAAAATTTTTTTAAAAATCAAAACTTGGCAGCCTCAAATCTTGGCAGAATTTTTTGACACTTGCGGACTACTTCTGCATATAATCAGAAACAAAACAAAAAATACATCTCTAAAGAGAGTCAATATAAATCCTTAAATTAAAACAATACACAGTATTCATTCTAGCTGTATGAGCTGCAAAATCAGAAGAGACACAGTATAGGCTCAAAATCCTGTCTCACGCCTGACTGCTACCTGATCACCCATGTTTATACAGAACTGTAAAGAAAACGCTCCAAAAGATGAAAATATTCTCACATCCTTGTGGCACATGCCTGTATACAGCTTTCACATTCCAAGTAAAGAATCAATTAGCAATCTATAGTATTAGCTTTAACTTACATATTTACACTTTTATCTACAACCTTCTCCTTTTGCCCCCTGCAACTGCATTCTATGACCACACAACCCAAAGGAAAAAAATAATTTAAATACATTTAAATACACACTGAACAAACAAAACATTTCTTGTGGTTCTTCTTTTTTCCTTTTTTTTTTTCTTTCCTTTCAAGGCAGAAAGAGCCCAAATGCTGCTAAGCAGAGTTCCAGTTACTTTATACAGCAATGTTCTTTGCCAGGTCTGGCTTATTAGATTTATTAGCTGCTGCTGCCACTACGCTGTTGAAAGTGCAGTTGCAAGATCAGGTCTCTAATTTCTTCTCTTTTGCTTCTGATCAGCTGACGAGGGAACCACTTCTCCAGGTGCAGTGGCTGTTCAAAGTCAACTATGGGATTCTGGTAACAGAAAAAGGAATATTTACAGCATGAATTTCCTAAAGCAACGTTCAAAAAGAATTTCAAACCCTTCCATTACTGCTGAGACCAAGGAGGCAAAAACAAGTTTCCATGGCACAGTGACAGGCTTCAAAGTCAAATTCCAGTTCCTCCATGGTAATCCTATATACACATACCCTTACCACAAGCTACTTATGGCAAACACCAAACGGGTTATCGCCACTTCTCTTAAAGATACATCAGTATAAGCACATATTCAGGGCAGATTCCATGTATTCTGATACAGTTAGACATACTCTTGGTATCTAACAGGGGACAGATGCACTTCGGTCACAAAACAAACATGTACAATCACGCCATAGGGAAGGATCAGGCACACAGCAGTTAAGTATGGTAAGGTTTTGTGGCCTCGGGCCTGTGTTTTTCTGTTGTGGGCTGGTCTGTCTGACAGAAGACAACAAAGCAAGAACACTGCTAGCAGTTTTAGCCAGACATGAGACAGGGAGAATTCGGAACAAAAGAGGACAGCAAATTGAAACAGCTGAGAGATGCTGTCACCTCTGGCAGTAACACCACAACTGATCTGACAAAGTCAATTATTTTCCTCTTTCCCTCTTAACTCTTTTGCATGCTTTTATTTCACCTTCTCCTTCCTTTGAATAAAGCAGTGTATGATAAATTGAAAAAGCAAAGCGAAAAACACATCACAATTTGCAGTCTGTGAGACCTGGTATGTTTAGGACAAATTACAACCACCTTGTCCTTGCCTTGCTTCTGCAAGCAGAACATGACCCCACTGTTAGAAAATGGGCAGTTCAAAAGCATCGGTAAAGGATTTCATTTTTCATCTACACAAGAGCTCAACCCATCTATCACACAGAATGGCTGAGGACTGAAGGAACTTCTGGAGGTCATCTGGTTCAATCCCCCTGCTCAAGCAGAACCACCTAGAGCCAGCTGCCAGAACCATGTCTGGACAGCTTTCGAACATTTCCAAGGAGAGACACTCCACAATCTCACCGAGCAAACCGTACCAGCACTTGGTCACCCTCACAGTAACAGCAACAACAAAAAAAAAGTCCAAAAAAAGCACATTTCCTTACGTTCAGAGGGAACCACCTGTGTTTCAGTTTGCATCCATTGCCTCCTGTCCTAGCACCGGGCACCACTGAAAAGAGAGAGCTCTGTCCATTTTGCACCCTCCCTTCAGGTCTTTCTACAGATTGACAGGATCCCCCCTGAGCCTTCTCTTAGAGTCCGAGCTCTCTCAACCTTTCCTTACAGGTGAGATGCTCCAGTACCTCAGTCACCTTTATGGCCCCTTGCTGGACCTGCTCCAATAGCACCATCTCTCCCTTGTACTGGGGAGACCAGAACTGGACACAGCAGTGAGGAGAGAGAAAGGATCAGCTCCCTGGAACAGGTGGCACCATTCCTCCTAACATAGACCAGGATACTGATAGCCTTCTTTGCCACAGACACACTGCTGGCACATGTTCAACTTGGTGTCCACCAGGACCCTTAGGTCCTTTTCAGCAAAGCTTCTTTCCAGCTGGGTGATCCCCAGAATATTTTGGTGCCTGAGGTTGTTACTCCCTTGGCACAGGACTCCACACTTCTTGTTGAATTTCATGAGGTTTCTGTCTGCCAGTCTTGTTAGTAAAGAGTGAGATGAAGAAGGCATTCAAAAGCTTAGCCTTTTCCATGTCCTGTGTCATCGGGGCCCTGCCCCATTCAGCAGTCAGTCCACATCTTTCCTAGTCTTCCTTTTGCTGCCTACGCAATTACAGAAGCCCTTCGTGTTGCCTTTGACATCCCTCACCAGATGAAACTTCAGTTGGGTTTGGCTTTCTGAATTACATCTCTGTAGGCTTGAACAGTGTCTCTATATTCCTCCCAGGTTACTTGTCCCTGCTTCTGCCTACTGTATACTTCCTTTTTATGTTTGAGTTTTGCCAGGAGCTGCTCCTCTATTCATGCAGGCCTCCTGGCATCTTTGCTTGACTTCCTGCTTGTTTGGATCAACTGCTCTCTAGCTTGGAGCTTCAATAACAACCAGCCTTCTTGGACCCCTCTTCCCTCTAGGGCCTTAACCCATGGAACTCTTTCAAGTAGATCACTGAGGATGGCACAGTTGAGGCTTGTGATCTTGGTTTTTACTCTGCTCCTTCCTCTCAGGATCCTGAATTCCACCATCTTATGGTCACCGCAGCCAAGGCTGCCTTTGACCTTTACATCCCAACCAGACCTTCCGTGAGTATGCAGTCCAGCAAAACACCTCTCCTCATTGGCTCCTCACTTGGATCAGGAAACTGTCATTGATGCTCTCCAGGAACCTCCTGGATTGCTCATAACCCTCTGTGTTGTCCCTCCAGTAGATGTCAGGGTGGTTAAAGTCCCTCACAGGGACTAGGGTCTGTGAATGTGAAGCTGCTTCTAGCTGTCTGTAGAAGGCCTCATTCACTTGTTCTTCTTCATCAGGTGTCCTACAGCAGATATCCATTACTATGTCACCTATATGACTCTACTCTTTAATTACTATCCATAAGCTCTCAGTTGGTTCCTCATCCAACCCTAGGCCCATGTATTCCAGCTGCTCTCTTGCATCAAGGGCAACTGTCTTCCCAGCCTGTCCTTCCTAAAGAGCCTGTATCTATCCATCACAGTACTCCAGTCATGTGAGCTATCCCACCACATCAAGATCACAGCCCTGCATGTGCACACAGATCTCCAGTTCCTCACACTTCTTCCCCACGCTGTGTTCATTAGCATACAGGCGCTTTGGAATGGCAGTCTGTTCTACAGCAGAAGAAAAATTTGTCCTGTGCCTAAGGCCCCACACAAGGCTTTCCATGCACAAGACTCTCGGAGAGAACGTGGACCACATGTATAAGCATCAAATAAGCAGAGCCATTCAAAGGACAGAGCAAGAGGGTAGTGCACTGATCAGCAGCAGGAAGAGCTGGGGAAACCCTAAAAGGTTGTGCCTGAAGCCCAGCACTGGCAGATGTTCAAAAGGTATGTGCTGACAGGAAAGAGAGGCTCCCTTAGCTCTGTGCATTCCCTTTCAAGGATTCCCACCTCTCTCTCTCTCTGCAGAAGCTGCTGCCTGCAGAGCCACTCAAAGGCCAATGCACAAGCTGACCAAAGTTTCAGAGGCTACAAGAAGAGATGCACAGAAAAGATGCCTTTGTAACACCTGTAGGGCAGAAATGTGTAAACTAAACAGACTCCAAATACATCCAAATAGTTAGGGATACTGAATGTGTCAACGTAAAAGCAGCATTAAACTAAAAGGTCAGAAATGTTTGCCAACACACACAGACGAGAAACTGTCTATGGTCCACATACAAAGACTCCTGCCACTACTTTAAGAATGGGTTTTATCTCCTCTTCCTCAAATGGCTTTGACATATTTGAGGCTTTTGTGACTGGCTGTCTCCCTCAGAAATAGAGTTTTTGGGTTTAAGCCAATTTTGGGGAAAGGGGAAGGTAGTTTCCACTTGTACCTGGAAGAAGCTTTCCACATACTGCAGCAAATAGACCCCACAATCACTGCTGTTATCTTGTTTAGGCACTCTGGGACACAGGTCAATCATTGTTGATTTATTGAATTCTCGATGCGTTTTTCGTTTAGCTTCCCATTCCACTTCAAGGTACCTACAAAAGAAAGTAAGGATTAAATACTTGCAAAATAACTCCCAAGCTCAATGCATTTTGGGATACTATATATTCAATATTGTTCTGCAGCTGGCCAAAAAGCTAAAAACCAATTTCTTTCACAGAATCTATCAAAGAAATTCACACAAGGAACAACATAATTTCCACCATCCAATATACTACCACACTCAGAGGCATCTCTACCACATAATATGCAATATACAACTAGAAAGATGGATGTTCTTTAAAAGCAGTCATTTGTGCTGAGTTTCTTCAAGCTATTAGGATACTATGACATTTTCAAACCTTAACTAAAGGAAGAACTCAAGTAATCTTTCCTGGCTATCACACGGATTTTTCCTAGGTTCACCCCAAGAGGCCAGCAGTGGTTTTTGAACCTAAGCAAATCATCGAGAAAAACCTTAGGATTCACCTCACAAACAACTTGTTACATTTGCACCAATATAACCCTTGCAACCTACTAGTGTACAAGGTATATAAAGACTTGTTAACGACCTTAAGGGATCACTTCTTTAATGATGATGACTTATTTGTTATCAGGCTTTTCTGTTATTCTCGTGCTTCACTAGCAACTCACTGACCCCACATTCTGGGCTGGTCGCTGATTCTGAAGCTGGGATTGAAAGCATAAGGGTCTGATTTTCAAAGGCAACAGTTACCTATACCTTCCTACTGACTGTAGTCAAGAGTTGCAAAGGCTCAGGGCTTGTGAAAATCAAACGTAAGGCCTGACTTTAGGGAATTAAAAAAATATATACATTGAGTCAGACCTTGTGTTTAGTTTTTAAGCGCCCCAAGACCTTGCAATTCTGAGAATAAAAATACATATAAAACACCCAAAACAGCTTTTGGGGAAAACAGCAACTGTGAAAAGGTGGCAAACCTGAAACAATTCAAAGATGAAGACAGATCAGTGAAGCACATTCCCTACAAACTGCAACAACTTATGACTGTAGACTTTATAATTAATTGGTTTGAGCCTGACCGTGGCCCAAAATACATCAAAAATCAACTCAAGGAAAGAAGAGGTCACGGAACCCCTGCATCGGTTTCCTTAAACTTCTGCTTTCAGACCGTAACTGCAAATTGAAGGAATAAGAAGTCTGCTTCTCAAACTTGCCTGATCTCATAACTCCATAAATCACCTCTTTGTTTTCTGACTTTTCATGACATCTCCCTGAACCACAGGAAACCACCCTCTCTGGAATTTCAATCCCAGGAGTAGCTCAAAGCATAGAGCACTAAGTTAATACAGCCCACAGAGACTAAAAAAAAAAAATAATTAAAAAAATTGCTATTTCATTCTTCGTCCCAAGACACATATGGTGGGGAAGACTCTCTATCTAAGAAGACTGTTTGACAAAAATCTCTGATTCTCATTTAATCCTCACATAGTACTTTGAAGAATTTACTTTTACAAGAAGGAGGTACTATTTGGTTTACAGATTTTTGTTCCTTTCAGTGAAGGGAATACAGTAAAGAACAAAAAGCACAACTCTGTTTCGCTTCAAATATTTAATGTTAGCAACTTTTTTAAAAGTTGTTGATAGATCTTAAAGCCATTAGAAGTGTGTAAAAGTACTAAGTTTGAAGACGTTCTTCCAATACATACTTATCACATAAAAGAATGAATATACTTTTATTCTCACTTTTCAAAATAAATAATGCTATTCCAATATAACTATACTGACACATTAAGCTTTTAGCTTCAGTCTAGTTTCTATTTTTTTGCACATAGATAGGAGTGGATTTAACACCGTAATTCAGTAAGCACCATCAAAAGAAATTAAGATTAGCCCTTTGGAAAATTCATCATTTAAATTTCAAATTTCTCATTTTAAAGAATTTGATTTTCTACCCTGAAAAACAACGTCCATTACCGAACTGAGCGGGGTAAAAAATACCAAACCCCTCGCCCTCTACATTTTTTTTTTCCAATTTCAAAAAGACTGTCCGCTTCACAATGTTTGCATTATATCTGGGAGGCAGAACAAAGGCAGGCTTTTCACACAAGGCTCTGTATTGCTGTAACAATCATCCTTGTCATGACTCTTTATGGATTTTCCATTAGCATTAGAAATGTACACCTTTATAGAGAAAAGTATTTTGAACACAGAAATATGACCAGCAGCATCTCTTGCTAATAAATAAAAACTGTAGTTACTTACTCTCTCAAAACCTGAACTGTTTTCTGCACAGAACCAGCTTTCAAAGAATCTAAGATGAGTATACAAGGCCTGTACACAACAAAAAACAAACAAACAAATCATTGTAGTCATTCACTACCAACACTACTGAAGCAAATATTTTGTTTGAATACAGCTGAACAAGAGCATCAGTATCTGAGCAAACACTGAAAAAAATGGACAAGTCCCTACAGTCGCGGCTTTATGACAAATAAGTGAATTACTGCAGAATTTCTTAGTATAATTTAATGGTACAATATTAGTATGAAAACAGAAACATACCTTTTACAAATTTGCCTTTCAGAATTACTTAGGGAGATCTGGAAGAAGAGAAAACAAAAATAACCTTAAAAAACCTACAACAATTACAAACTCAGAAGTCTTCAGAGATTTAAAGGTAAAGTCAGAAAGACTCCCATTTCAGAAAGAGAAAAACAGATAAACAATTTTTAAAAGCACGTGAAAGCATGGCATAGGCAACATAGGCAGGCAATGGAAGACTTTTGGCTAATTTTAAAGTGCCTTGCAGGTCATGCAAACATTGACAGCTGCTGCAAAAAAGATGATGCAAAATCACTCGGTCAAGTCTCAGAGCCTTCGGAAGCGGACTAATACGTGTTTCCTCTGTCAGTAAGAAAAAGTACTTACTTTAGAAATACCTGAATCCAGGACTGAAGCAGAACCAGCAATTTCATTGTCACCTAGTACAAAAGAACAAATTTAAAGTCTTAAGAAAATATTTCCTAGTTGAAGTATTTTCATTCTCAAATTCATTATTATTAATATCTAAAATACGATGGCCAAGTATAAACTAATATTTTACTTCCTTTCTGAATGTTCAAATAGCAGTTACTGAGGGCCTGCCTTCCTGATACAATTCCTACTGAACTCCAAGAACTTTCCACTTATCATGGGGTCTGAGCCACTGATTTTACATGTCCCTTCTAGTATTTTCCAGAGTTGCAGACAAGAAGAATGCAGTGCAGTCCTTGCTATGCATGGCAATACAAAAACACACTACATCAATCTTGATGCGAAAGATACTTTTTAAGACATCGCATCCCTTCTTCAAGGATTAAGATGCTATTAGAACTGTATATGGCTTGACATAGCTTTCTTCTAGATTACCTACCTTTTGAGAATAAACTTCTATTAGCATCCATTTCTTCTTCATCCTTGCAGTCACCAGAGAAGGCCAACACTGAAACAATTCTACTGTTCTCGCTCTCTGACCAAAGCGGAGACTGTTGAGGCTGGTGATGTAACGAATTCTGATGGTGACACTCCTCATATATGGCTTCTTCTAACCAAGGAAAACAGATAACTGCAATGTACCAATGAGACCTGCCCAGCAGTGGGAAGAGGGGGAGGGAAAAACCATCAAAAACGTAGAACATTTTGTTCTGAAAAGGACACGAAAAGTTTTTGTAACATCGAAAGCTCATGGACAACTGTTCTGTGACACATACTCATTGTGGCATGTTCATTCATGGTACCTCATACTATTCCTCTCACTCATTTTTTACTTTGCATTGTGGCATAACAGCAAAAATAAGTATAAATTCCTTTAAAAAAATCCCAAAACACACCACACCACAGCAATTTATCACTTACCACCCATCCCACACTAAAAAAAAACCAAAAAAAAAAACAAACAACAAAAGAAAAAGGTAACAAAATAATCTTTGATTGTGATCCCAGTTTTGAATATAGCTGAAGGTACGGCATGTCTCTAGCCTCATCTCTTTCTGCAAATGTTTTGCATATGTAACTCTCAATGACCATTCAGTTTTACTGGAGTTTCCATGTGCAGTCAGTTAATGAACCAGGCCAAGGCACAGACCATGGAAGTACTACTCCTGATCCATTAATGCTACGGGTTGCTGTGATTTCTTTATACAAATATTATGTAAGTGCACAGGAATCATCATAGTGACAGACAAATTATTTTGAAAAACACATAAAAGCAATTTTCAGTAAAACAAAAACCAAAGATGCAAAGTTTACTGAAGACAACAAAATAAAAAGTTTAACTTTTGAAACAACTTCAAAATTACTCATTCCACACCTGTTACTTCTTCCAAATCTAATGTGTTCATTTCCAATGATCCAAGCTTACAGCCATAAATCTTTTTATCACCACAACGTTCAAACATTTACATCTTTAAATATCAGAAAAGGTGTCTAAATCACATAGACTTACTCTTCATTCACAGGCACAAAGATGTAATCTTTACTGAAGATGTTTATATGACGAGTCCATGTTCTTACTCTTCTGTGTCTTCTCTGTGCTGCTCTGCAGAAACCAAATAACAACTGTTGTTTGGATTTGTTCTTTTCAGTTAAAGCAAGGTATAGGGATTAGTACTTCTACATGTTCCAAATCCCTCAATGGGTTTTTCACTTACTCTTGAAATTTCCCCAACAGAGAAAAAATAAATCAGCCCAGCATTAAGACTAAGTGACTAACAAGCCATTTCCAAATTATCTTAAACTATTCTGGAAAAAAATAATCCATAGTTTTGAAAGGATTTCTTGCAGTTATTAATCCAGTAATTATTTACGACACTAAATGCAAAAAACCTCATCTAAATACCTGCCAGTGTAAAAACAGATCTATAGCAATTCATAAACATGCATGAATTAAAAATTCACAATACCACTTTTGAAGGTCTGTCTAAACAACCTTACCTTTTGAAGGAAAAAAGCTAAATGCCTTGCATGGGGTCATGCAACACACCTGAAGCAAAACCAAAACTGAAACAGATTCCCTCCAGTCATTAGCTTTAAACGCTGGAGCACATTTTATTTCCAGTCCTAAAGCCATGTATCATGAGGACTAAGATACTAGGAGATAAGAATACCAGGAGGTACTAAGAGAATACGAAAAATTTGAGAAGAAACCTAAATTTAATTTCCAACTTTCTTAGTTTGCACAAGTTGAAATACAAACCAAAAGTTCATAGAACTTTGCTCCAATATGATCTGAAAGCAAATTCACTCTACTCATGAGACATCCCTATTAACATTCTGATTCCATCTTTATCTGTGATTAAGAAATGTAACTTCAGTGTGGGAGTAACAGAAGAAAAGGAGAAAGGAATGGAAAAACAGGCTGCTGTGGGACTCTACATGGGCCACCATTAAGTGAAGACTTGCTGCAAACATCCTCTGCTACATGGCTCTAGAAGCACTGGGAACTTAGAGGGGGAAGGCATGTTTGCAACCTGGGAAAGCACGTATCAAAGGACCTTTCTCAAACTACTGCCTAACAAGTTGGCGGCCAGTCAGAAGCAGTGTCCCCCAGAGCTCAGCA